TAAACCGGCCGGACGATCGGTTAGGCAAAATTTGCAAAAAAAAAAAAAAAAATTCTAAAAAGCGTGCCTGAGACAGAGCTCTCTGCAGTGTTTTGGAAACGTGATTCCAAAACTCCTACCAAACATCATATTCACATGTAGGTGTGGAATCACGTTTACAAAACATAACCAAACGGAGGCATCATCTTAAGCCTGATTATGCACCTGCTCACCTATATACATAATAAATAAATAGTGAGCAGGAGCCCAGTGAATAATAAAAGAGTAAAAAGTTAAATGAATAATGTCCCAAAACCAATTCAGAAACTAGAGCTCATATCAAAGACAGATTCATATTCGTATACTTGTTCAGAGCATATATAGAAGTTAGAGTTCATGCTTAATCTTACATAGTATATCTGTTAGCGTTAGAAGATCATATATAGAGCATCATAGATCATACTTGTCAGTTCCATAGAGTAACCTTCGGCCGGGTGCAGATAACTTGTCAGTTCCATAGAGGAACCTCTAGACTGGGAACGGATAACTAGAAAGTTCCATAAAGGAACCTCCAGCCGAATGCAGATAACTTGTCAGTTCTATAAGGAACCTCCAGACCGGGTGTAGATAACATACTTGAATCACAACATTAATGCCACAAATATTTGTCAGAATTGGACAATCATTCATAGTACAAAACATAGCATTTCATAGAACAGATCTTATTTCGTATACTTAAAATAATTTAACTTGAACACAGTTTTACTAAGTTATTACTCACAATAACAGATGGCTCCAAGTAAACGAACATAGTAGGCAATTCCGATATCTTGTGGCACGTGACCTACACAAATACAGAACGAATACGTACTCAATTACACACTCAGAACATTAACTTAGTTCTTTCTTATCTTGGTGTGTTTCTACTCTTTATCCTCATTATTGTGTCTTACTCTTGCCCTAGGAATGCCTAGGATGCAATGAGGATGCAAAAATGCATTTGAAAATAATAGGTCAAAAATGCTGGAAACAGGGGTCTCGCTCGAGCGCAATTTCCTTCACTTGAGTGATTTGTAAACCTTGCCAAAGTACTGGTTGCTCGATTTTTCCGCTCAATGCTTGCTTGACGCTCGTTCGAACGTGAGACTTAGGTCTTCGCTCGAGCAGTCTGTAAAAATACGAAACTTCTGGGAGCTTACATTTCACGCTCAGGCGAACTTCTGGTTGCTCGAGCGGAGAATCCGTTGTTCAAGCGAAGAAACAGAATTTGGAATTTCTAGATTGCTCTGTCCAGTGCAACACTCAATTTCAAAGTTGTAAATCATGGTCTTTTGGGCCAAAAACTTGAGGAAACCTATATAAACTTGGAAAACATGGTGAATTAAAGATCATTCCTTTAGACCAAGGCCCAAAAGCATGTGAATTGCTCAAAACCAACTTAAAAGTTTCCAAAATATGGCATGCATGCAAAGATATGCTCTTCAACCATCCATACCATGATCAATTGAAATGTTTAGTGCCAAACCAAGTTGAATGATGAAATCATAGCCAAGGTAGGGTCATGCATGTGAAGGTTCTTGCTTAAATAACTTCAAAACTTCATGATATGCATATGCATGCATGCAATGATATGATCTTATATTCTTCATTCTAGCTCAATTATGATGTAATGCACTCAATTCTCTTGAATCCGTGGTTTAAGCATCAAAATTATATAATCCAAAGGTTGAATTCCTACCTTATGCTTGAATTCTCAAGTATAGAAATGCAATCTTTGAAGTTCTTTCCAATTCTTCCAATTCTCTAGCAATTACTCTACAATTGAGCTCAAATTTCTTTGTCTCTCTCTTTCACATGTTTTTGCCTTCGAAGATGAGGGATTGAGAGTGCAAAGTGTATAAATGGTGGAGAGAGTGGCCTTATATAGGCCCATTACATTGACTTAATTAATCTTGGCTTAAATTAAGCAAATGAGCATTAATTTATCTAATTATTTCGTTTCGAATCGAATTTCAATTAAACTTACCATAATATTCTAAAAATTGTAACCTAACATGTAATTTAAGTCAATTTCATGATCGGATGCCGATAAGGCCTTCGATTCACAGTATAAAACAAAAACAGAAACAAATATTCCTCCGATAGATAGATAGAAACTCACATAGCACATAACACATGCAATTAACTCAGGATTTCTTCTTGATTACTTATTAGGCATAATTAATCATTGTTAATCCGTTAATCATAGGTTGGGTTGTTACACTCCAACAACCAAACTTAATAAGGAATAAGGATAAACAACACATAAACAACCACATAAGACAATGGAACCCGAATCCAAAACATCAATGGATCTAAACCAGAATCGCTATAAGTGGCAAATAAAATATAAAAGTGTGGTAAATAGAATCAAAACGTATGGTAAGTATTGTGTTTATAAATGGTAATTACTCGATCATTTAATGGATGGGGTCCATTATTTTTTATCTCTTTCAATTTTGATCTTTTCCCATATCATTAAATTGCACTTACTAGTATACTAGATTTCATTTACTACTTCATTACTTTTGACTTATCATTTCATTCAACCATACTTACTAGCCGATGAGACTACACTTACCACTTTTTTACACTTTACTTACCATTTAAATAAACTCCACTTACTACCACTTCATTAGACTTGACTATCACTAAAATAAACCTCACTTACTACCACTTCATTAGACTTGGTAAATGGTTATGTGGGTTTGACCCATGGGTTTTGGCTAATGCTAGTGCCCATGGTCCACAGTGCTGGTATATGAATCAGATTTTGTTAAGCTTTTGGGCTCTCCAATTGGGCTAAATATTTATATTATTTGGGAGATAAGTTGAGATTTTGTTATGGCCCCACATTTTGATTGGGCCATTGTGCAATGGTACACTGTTTGTTTGTAGCCGGGTTATTCATGATGATTGATTACATGATCCTTACATGACTCTATATGAGGTTGTTCTTGAGCCATCTCCGCCAAGAGTGATTTAGGGGTCACTACTATGGGGATCGTGGTTTGATGATCTACCGAGTTAGAGACTCGGGGATGGGAATTTACCAGTTTTCTAGTTGCCTCTTGTCTTCACATGACCCATCCTGATTTGGTCTTTAAGCCACTCCCCACATGGAGTGAGGGAGACACTGCTGTAGGGATTGAGGTTTTGTGATCAATCAGGGAAGGGACTAGGGGATGTGGTGTTGATTTCATGGTGGGTTTGACTTTGGCTGTAACTGTTGCTGTGGTCATTTTTGCTTTTGCTATACTCTTTGAGACTATTAATTATGGTATTTGACTGTACAAGCTTCACATGACACTATCAAGATCGTGTTGTGAAGTCACCCCATGTGGAAGGGGTGATCCTCTTTCTTCATTCTTCCTCCATGTGAAAGCAACAGAGGAGAGTCAAGGAAGGATGGTGCACAAGGACTTCCACCACATGGAGAAATTGTTGAAGGCTCCAAGTCAAGGAGTAGGAGGGAGCAGGTGATCAGCTCCACCGAAAGTGAAGAAAGAATGAGTTCGTCATGTGTAAGGCCAAGCTCTTCCTCCTGCCATTTCTAACTTCCACCAAAAGGAGATAGAAATTTTGGTGGGTTTCTCTCTCTCTCTCTCTCTCTCTCTCTCATCTTTGTATGTAAATAGAGAAGGGAGAAAGAGAGATTAATGTGAGAAAAATAGAGCAAAAAAGAGAGAGTGAGACATGTAATAGAGATACCGTCTCTCTCGGTGTGAGAGAGAGAGACGAGAGAGTATGTTGAGTTGAGTGAGAGTATATCCTTATCCATTATCTTTCCATAATCTTTCCACTGTAATCTTTCCATTGTGATAGTGATTATTGTTTTATCTCCCATGGACGTAGGCACTAAAGCCAAACCATGTTAAATATGGTATCTCGTTGGATGTGTGTTTGTTTTTCTACTTGGTATAATTTCTGGGAGGTCTTGGGCGGGATCCTGGATCCCCAACAGATTGTTCATGGGGTATATTTTTTCCTTCATCATGGCTTTGTGAGTGGCTATGGATGTCACGACTGTGAGGTACGAGATGCTTATTTGACTCCGAATTTAATTTGGACGGGGACTGGGAGCTAGTGAGGGAAGTTAACAAAGTTGATTGGTCACAGTGGTTGTTTTAGCTTGTTTATTATGATGTCTTGTCGTGTATCAGTTTACTAATGTTTATGTGGTTCCTTTTGTATACATATCCATGTATCTTCTCCAAATTTTCATTTATGTGGTTCCTCTTGTAGACGTTTCCCACAGACGGCGCCAATTGTGAGACCATGAAATATCCTCTCACATAAATTGTAAAGATCCAACAAAGAAATGAACTTGATCCCTGGATATCTGCAAAGATGAGCAAGATCGGTGCCACCCAACTAGGGTTGCCGGCCGAAGACACTCTGATGATAAAGTTAGTCCTTTGATTGAAAGCATGAAGCTATAGAAATCAAGAGTGTTGCTGTGTAGTGTAGAGAGAGAGCACATACCTCCTTTTCTGGGATGGCCCCCCTTTATATAGATGGGGGGTGTGATATTTGTTTCGGCTGGACCCATTGTAGGTCTTGTTTGGGTTAGCCCCAATAAGTTGATATATATTTTTTTCTGACTCCCACAATTATATAGCTTAACAGATTATAGATTATGACTTTAATTAGAAACTGTTAGTTTGTTTGGTGCAGCTGTTAGATTATAGATTTAAATTGCTGAGTAGTGTTGGTTAAATAAGTTGTAAAGTAACTTTTTCAATTAATTTTTATTTTTTGTTATTCACTACTTGTCTACATTTTTCATTAAAAAAAAAAATAATATCCATAGTCCATTTGGGTCTTTTGCTATTTTTTTTAAAAATAAAAAATAAAAAAAATCTAAGAGTATAACCTTAAATTAATATGTCTACAGTAGAAGTTGATAATCAGAAGCAATGGGTAAGCAGCTTCTCAGAATCAACTTTTTTGAGTTAAAATAAGTTGCTAGAATCAAAAACTGTTTGAAATAAGTTCAATCAAACAGTCCAAAATAGCTTTTTCAAAACTAAGGGGGCGTTTGGCATAACCTATATAAGTACACTTATTTGAGTTACATCACCTCTCTAATTTTCTGTACATCTTTTCGTAAAAAATTAAAAAATATATTTATTTAGATCATTCTAAATACCTCCTAAATTTATTAGTTAGCCAAAATAAACCAACACCAAACATCCCCATTATATGATTAGTGGCCAACCTCACATTTGCAGTAAGGAGCCCAAAGAGTAGGAATGCTTATTGAACAATACAAGCAATGAACCATTCAAAAGTACTATGGACTGTTTACAAGGGACTCATCACATCATCATTGAAACAGTCAACATAAGATCATGAATAGTTTTGAGGATGAGACATATATCCAATGATTGAAGGGTGGTGCCAATAGGAGGAGTAGTAGTGTCATGACATTTGGTTCTCCCTAACCTATACTATTGTCAATTTTTGTTTTTAAAAACACTTTCAGCATACCCTTTTGATGCTTTCTTCACCAAGTTTTCTCCTTGGTTTTTTTATAGTAGCCGGCCCATCTTACATATTTTCATTTATGTACACACATACAATATGTTATAAATCTCCCCAAAAACAGTGTTCATGCACTTGTTTCGCGAAGCATTTTTTGTGTTTTTGGCAGCAAAGTTCTGCCATGGTAGCGGGGGCTAATGGAGATCGGTCGCTGAAGGAGACACCAACATGGGCGGTTGCACTTGTTTCTGCAGTTTTTGTGATCATTTCTGTTCTTATTGAACATGGGATTCATTCTCTTGAAAAGGTAAAACTGACTAAGATTTTTATGTAAAATTTGAATGATTCTGCAAGCTTTTTATATATGGTTGGATGGAATTTTGGAAAGAATTCAATTCTGAACTATTAACTTTGGTTTCTTGAATGGTACAGTGGTTTCGGAAGGGCCAGAAGAAGGCCATGATTGAGGCTTTGGAGAAGATTAAAGCCGGTCTCTCTCTCTCTCTCTCTCTCCCCCCTCCTTTCACAATTATATTGAAATATATATGATGAAGTTTATAAAGTTAGCAGAACGCCAAAAAGGATTCCTCATATCACGGATAATTACAAGTAGTAAGTTTAGAGGAGCTATTTATTGATTATACACAACTTGTTGACTATCTTTCTCATTTATTAAAGTAAGTGATGCAATTCAAAAATTAGAGGTGAGTCTAGAATTTTATTAAAGGGATGCAATTCAAAAATTATTAGGTGAGTTTAGAATTTTAGTACGTTCATCCAGTGACATGTGATCATATAGTTACTTCGTTCATATTTATTTTTTATTTTTTGAAAAATCATCATATGGATATGTCATCTCTTTATCTCTTTCAACTATTACATAATCAATAATAGTATTTAAAATAAAAATAAACAGTAACACCTCGACTGAATTTGGGCCAACATTAATTTTTCATCCTACATTTCTATAATTGTTTTTCTATGCACACTGCATATTCTTTTTGAATTAATAATGAAATAAAAAAATGGTATTTTATTATCAAATTATTTAAAAAAAATTTAAAAATGTGCAGAATTGATGCTTCTAGGATTCATATCCCTACTGATCACAGTAGGTACAAGCCTTGTGTCTAAGATATGTATTCCTTCCAAAGCTGGAAATATCATGCTCCCTTGTAAGCAGCAGAACTCCAACAACAAGCTTTCTCACGCTTCAATAAAGTTGTTTGCCGGAGATACTGCCATTCGGCGGCGAGTTCTAGCTCCGGCTAGTGGTGTTAATGCTGGTCAAGACTACTGCTCTCAATATGTATGCCAAAAGTCATCATTTTTTTTTTTTGGGTGCATATGTTTCCTATAGATGGGTCATTTAAGAAATTTTTCCTGAAAACAATTTTGGAAACAGTTCGCCAAATAAGATTGTTTTGTGATCATTACTTGTTTGTGAATGAACAGGGGAAAGTGTCGTTGATATCTCAGTCAGGGGTGCACCAATTGCACATTTTCATATTTGTGCTTGCCATTTTCCATGTTCTGTATAGTGTGATCACCATGGCTCTAGCACAGGCCAAAGTATGTCACTCCACTCCACTGCTTCTACTTTTCTGATTCAAGATTTTTGGTTAATGTGATTTATTATTTATTGATTTTTTGGGGGGGTATTATTGAAAGGTGAAGAAATGGAAAGCATGGGAGCAAGAAACCAATTCATTGGAATATCAATTTAATAATGGTAATTATAATCAGCATTCAAGATTACTTTTATTTATTTATTATTGTGTAGAGAAAATAAAGTGGGTAATTGAGTTAGGTGAATGTTGATTTTGGACAGACCCTGCAAGGTTTAGGTTCGCTCATCAGACATCCTTTGTTAGGCAGCACAGTGGCTTCTCCACAATGCCCGGTCTCAGATGGGTTGTAAGTTCCACTACTACTTAGGATCCGTTTTAATGATATGAACTATTTATTTTGTAATCACAATTCCATATAACATATCACATTTTCATAGTAACGGAGAGTAAAATAAATAAATCAAATTTACAGGTGGCTTTCTTTAGGCAATTTTTTGCGTCAGTAACAAAAGTGGACTATCTGACTATGCGACACGGATTCATTAACGTAGGTAAAATTTCCAAATTACACACTTTTTATCCAATAATAATATTTTTATATAAAATTCATAGCAAGAATAGCTAAATTTGTAAAATTTTAATGACAAGCACAAAATATCGCATCATTCTATACAACTTACATGCACTAACTAATTACCATGATGTTCCATGTGGTAGTGTAGACACCTCATTTTTGATCGTCCTCAAGACTTGGACGTCACCGTTTGAACACTCGGTGATCATCCATGTTTGTGTTCGTCTTGAGTTCTCGGAGGTTTCAGCAGCGTGCCTTGCCTCAAGACCTCTCGACTTGTGTTTTTGCTTCTGAGGGCAGGGAATGGCTTGATTGGACATCCCCACACCTCACCGGCCTTGTTTCCTTGCTACCGGCCATTGGTTATGGCCGGTCGGCACTATTGATGGTCGGTCGGCATTGTGTTTGGTCGGCCGGCCACTGTTTTTGATCAATCGGCCACTTGTCATGACCGAGACCTTTTCTTGAGAGAGCTTGACCCTTTTGAACTTTTTTTTAGCTTCTCCAAGAAGCTTGACCCTTTTTTAGCTTCTCCAAGAAGCTTGACCCCTTGTCT